TTTACTAATATTTAAATTTGTTTGATGATCTGAAACATTAAAGTGTGACAAACATGCAAAAAAATAAGAAATGGGGAAGGGGGCCAACACTTTTTCACACCACTGTATAATGGGAGGTGCCACTGCAACAATGTTATGACTTATGGCAAACATCTGTCTGATCATAATGTCCAGTCTGGTTTTATGACCCTCAACAATTTATTAATCCAAACAACTCTGTAAGGTTGTATGATGCATTTTTTTTTGTCATGGATTGTTCTGGTCAGCACTATGTTTGCGCTGATGTGACCTGAGATGATCCAGTCGTTTAAAGCTCAGTCCACAGATACCACAGCAATATGGTCTTTCTCCTGTATGGGTACGTTGATGGACTTTCAAGATGTCGGCCCGAGTAAAGCTCTTACTACACATAGTGCACTTGTGTGGTTTCTCCTGTGTGTGAATACGCTGATGCAGCTTGAGATTCCACAATCGGCTGAATTTGTTCCCACATAGTGTGCAGGTGTAGGGCTTGTCTCCGGTCTGACTGCATCTGTGTCTTCGCAAGTCACTGAAGGACGAATAACCTTTCCCACAGTGGCTGCACAAGTGGAGACCCTCCCGCTGGTGGACACGCTGGTGCACTTTTAGGTTGCAGGCCTGAGTGAACTTCTTACCACACTGGTTACAAGTGTATGCGGCACTTGAACCGACTCGGTGGGAGAGCGGGAAGGCGTTCACAGAAGCCCTGCTGTCGACTAACGCTTGTCCAACATTAGGTTTCAGAGAGTGATTCAATGCATGTCCCTTATAAACTGCGCCACTTGTTGTGTCCCCAACATACAGTGAGTGTCCTCTATGACCAGCACCTCCTGCAACCCCACTGCGAACTTCAGTGAAGGAATTTATGTCTTGCAAGTGGCCATCTGCATTAATAAGTAAACAGTGCATGTCTCTATCCACATCTTCTGTCTGGGGGCTGACTTGCACAGGTAAAGATCCTCTGTTTCCTCTCTTACTCTTAATGGAAGAGCTGTGATGTCTCCCAACTTCCTGGTCCAGGTCATTTTGATCAGGCCCAACCGCAACCGATACTGAATTACCCAACATGTCAAAAGTTCTTTCTCCGAGACCGTCCAGGTCTCCCACCTCCAGTTCATGCACACTGTATCTCGCTAGCTCTTCTGCGTCATAGCGTGCTGGATACGCCAGGCCCTGGACGTCTGTGATATCTCCGTAAGTCTCATTGTCAGCAGTCTGATCAAGTCCAGAGCTCCACTCTTCCTGAATCTGATGCAGCTCCTGCTCACTGTAACTGTGAGCTGAGAAATCTGATGTCTCAGCTCCTGGAAAACCAAACATGGAAAAAAAATGTCTAATGTTCAAACACAGTCTAATGTGAGAGGGTTAAAGCAGTAATCAGATGTTTAAATCACACCTTCAGTATCCAACGTCCACCCATCCTGAAGCTCTTTATTACCGGCAGTGACATAAAGGGACTCCTCTTTCAATACGCAGTCCAGTTTCCTGTTCTCTATGCTTGCAGGCTACAGAGAACACAAAGACAGAATGTGCACAGAATGTTAAAGTCACGATGAAACAGACATAGCGACAGATCTCTTCTTCTGCATTGTGATGAAACAGATTATCAACAAAGAAAAAATGTAGGATAGGGACTTGGTTCTATTTATCGGTTGCTGATTGGATGGAGCATCCAGGGGTGGAGTTTAAGCAGACTAAATAATTGGAGAAGTCATGCATGCATCATCAGAAAGAAGTATTTTTTTCACTGAAGATTGAGTTAAAAAAAATGAAACATACTGTATGCCCAGATGAACTGTTCACATTAAGATCAATAACATGCATTTAGACAATAATGCCTTACTATCTTCACAGCATTATTTTTCAGGTTTCAGACACAGCTTTTGTGAAACACTGCAGTACGAGGCGACTCACCTCTGTTGTGTTACTGGAGCTGGTTTGGTCTTCTAACCTCTCTTTTCCCAAAAGGGTGTCAGACTCCAACTCACAGCTTCCCCAGTTCCCATCTGGAACTTTCTCCTGTTTGAGGCTGCGATCATTTTCTACATGTGGTCAAGGGTGAATGCAACTGTGAGGGCATTGATTACACAGTCCTTTAATGGTCTTTAAAGGGACGGAAGAAAAAAGTCATATATCTGGAATGATGTGAGGGTCTTTAAACAATTCCTTTTTCTATGTTATGTGGCAAGTTTGGATTTTTCAGTTGACAGAAATACTGGTTAACCTATGTTTTCTTTTTCTCATTTAGGGTCATGAACATGCCTGCAAAGTATGTGCTTGCAAAATGTATACTGTCTACTATAATTATGATGTTTGTAACTATATATAATATATATAGTTATAATATTATAATTATAATTTTCACTTTTACACCACCAGACATATATATCAGTTCAAAATATCAGTTATTGGTCTACTTGATCTGTAATAATCAGTATCAGCCCTGAAAAACACACATTGGTCGACCCATAGTTCAGTTCACCGGGAATCTCACGATCTTGGTGTTGCTACAATGATTTATGTTTATTTTTTCGTATTGCGTGAGAAGTATTAATGTTAAAGGTTTACTCATTATAAAATATGATGGTCCTATTGATTATAAAACCATTACATTTCCTTATTGTAGAACATTACATATAGTGACAATCAAGACAACATTGAGCCTCAGTTGAATTGTGAACAAACCTGATTGTGGTGGCATTTCTTCTTTTTCCTCGTTACACACACGGGCTTTGTCACACACTGCACACCTCAGACTCCTCACACTCGTCTCTTGATTTTTCCGTCTGGTCTCGCTCCACTGGAGCCTCTTCTTCAGAGTCTCTACCTGCTCTCGACTACGGGACACTTCCTTCACGAAACTCTCCTCCACGAGACGGGTGATCTCAAATATGGCAGCTTTAAAAACGGTCTCCATGACCCCGGACAGCTGTGACTGAAACTGGTGAATGACTTCAGACATTATGATGAGAAGAATACAGTTGAAAAAGCCTTAAACCAACCTAGAGTAGTCTAGCTACTTTCTTTATTATATAAACAAGCACAACACCAACAATTTATCCTCCAGCTCCTCCTTGCTAGACGTTTCAAACCAAATTGTCACATCATATCGTTGGTGTGTGCTGTTGAACCATTTTTTAGTTTTGTCAAATCTGCACTAGTCCATACACTTGCTAGCGAGGACTGTTATTGTTAGTTAACGCTAACTACCGGTTATTGTTCTCTTATTAGAGTCACATTTAAACATTGTAACATAAACGATACGTGGAGAATCAGAGCCGATCCAAACTGGGACTGACTGGAAGCACTTCCTGTAACAAACATACGGATGGAAGCTAGAGACAAATTTAAAGGTACAGTTCACCCGAAAAGGAAAATAGTGTTTACGAATTTACTGTTTTCTTCTACTCAGAATCATTTCCTCACCTTCATTTTGTTGCAAACCTATGTGAATTTCTTCTGTGCGATGGACAAGTAGACTTTGGCCAGAATGACAGCCCCAGTCACCATTCACCTTCACTACATATTTTGTCTATACAATGAAAGTGAATGGTGACTGAGTCAAGGTGCGAATTAGCAGGCAAAAAAAGGTCAATTTTCTATTATTAATAATGCAGGGCACCTCTGCAAACTTCAACGGGTCTCCAAATAAGTCATTTAAATAGTTATGTTAGCACAGTGTATATTAACAAAATACTATTTAATAAACACTTCAAACGAAGATTTACAACACTAAACTGACATTATATTTTTGAGTTTACTTATTTTTATTACAACAGATGTACCATGAGATAGGAGGGCCTTTCGAATGTTGTCTTGGACTAAGGGGAGCCTTGGAGTCAAAAATCTTGAACCGTACTGCTCTAGATGCCTGCTATTGGAAAGGATGCAGTTTATTTCCCTTTCTAGTGTGCTATAAATAACTACAGTAACATAATCAACTTTGTTATTTATGAAACTATACAACATACATGGAGCTATATGGTGTAAAATCTTCCAAAATCCATTTGTGAAACATTTCAAGTAGTTGACTTCACAGTTATTGATAGGATAGCTAAAAGGAATGTGCTGATTCTAAAAACAGTTCCTGAAAATGTCGCATTTTCACACAACATAGTCTACTTGTAAGGTGAAGAAGTTATGTATTACCCCTTAACCATGCCACAAAGACATGATTCCCACCTTCCTCTGATCCAGGTTATTTGAGCCATCTGTTTGTGGAATTCTTGTCCAATTTTCACATGTATGAATGACTGATTCTTGAAGACATTATTTTGTTCATTGTCATTCTTAAATTGTGGGGGGGGGGTGCACGTGATGGACAGTTTTTATTAACAGCTATTTCTGAACTTATATAGTATCATCCAATTAGATAGGCCTATTATTAGGCCATTTTTGCAAATCAGCTGAATTTTTGTCAAGATGCAGGACTGAGCAATCCATTCATATAGGCTATTATAAAATGTATTTTTGTTTCTACATTCTTCATTCATAAAAACACTTAAGATATAGGCTAGACGCTGGACTTTGGAAACATACAAATAATAAGAAAGTTATCATTAAGTTTTGTTTCACTCCCTTATGAAGACACTTGCATGCATACACGGTTTAGAACTTAAGTGTGTTTCAGTGTCATAAAAAGCAGACCGCAAACTATCTTTACAGCAGTCTATAAATAAAACGTTTTCACATTCAGTGCGGAAGTATACCGCCCTCCCCTGGACGCGTCATCATTGTGATTCTCATTGACTGTCAAAGGGACCACAACGTCTGCTCCATAAAGTTAACTTCATTTGAATCGGACCATGTCCGATGCGAGCGCGGACGATTATGACGGGTTTCAGGCCCAGTTCACAAACATAATGGAAACAATTTTACAGACTGCTGTGAGGGAAGCGACAAAACTTTATGATGGCACTTTGCAGCGCTTGAAAGCGGAATTGGTGCAGCTGAGGCAAGATAATGTCAACACGAAGACAGGTGATTCTTCCAGCCAGAACACAAAGAGATTCTCTGAAGCTGGGAGTCAGAGGACTGGAAATGTCTCTAAACATCGTGATATTGGCGTGCAGTGTGGTAGGTCTTTCTTGTAACAGTGTGTTCCTGAGTTATGGCGTGCATTAAACACTTCCTGGAAAATATAACGACTTTTAACGGCTTAGATTAAGTCTGATGGTTAATATATAAAAGTCACTTTTATGGCCTTTTTTCTGTCTGTGGAATGTTTTATGCACATTTAATATATGTATATACATTTTTTATTTATTTAATTAATCAGTTTTCTCTCATAATTTGTCATTTGTAATGTATGCCCTCCTAAAACATCCTTAACACGATAAGATGTTTAGGTTGGTTTTAGAATATGTTTTGGGCACTTTTTTGCTTGTTGGCTGGTTAGGCGCTTTTTTTCAACGGTTATTTACAGTGCTTTTTTTTTTTTTTTTCCATTTGACAGAAAAGCCCACTTTGGTTGACCGGGGATGCAGCCCCCTTCAGTTTATAGGACAACGTCTTAATGTGGGAGACATTACGAGTGAGAAACTCACAGATCTTTGTGCCAGTGAGGATGGGAACAGACAACTTGCATTGCTTCTCGTCAAACAAGAGGTAAGAAATGACAGGTCATATGACAGAAGAGTAAAAAGTGTTTATTCTTCACCTCCTCCCTTCCTCCCCCTTTTCTGTTTTGCATATCGATTATGCTGTGAGATACAGCAAAGTTCACAGACTGAGGTCATACAGTGTTCCCTCTCAGTAAGGGTTTTTAAGTAAACAATTAGTTCAATTAGGATTGAATTTAAATCTTATGCTCATATTTGATCATTCTGGAGTGGATAATATTTTATTGCTAGCCCCTTTATACATTATGATTTTATGTTCTGTCTTCAGCCTCAAGAGACTGAATGCAACAAATATGCACCAGGATACTTTCTACTAAAGCAAGAGGGTGCTGAACCAATACTGGTGCGCAGAGAGCCAAATAAGGACACCATGGAAAGGGGTACAAGAGTCATTCACAAATTCAACTGAACAAAGAGAAAAAAATCTCATATACGTCATATATTATATGTAGTTCTTTCACAAATGCACAACACACAACACAGACTCAACTGCTTGGTGTAATATACATTTACTCATTTAGCAGAAACTGATAGAATTGAATAAAATACAACAAAATATAACATTACATACCCATTTTTAAAAGTTTAAATTTTTACACTTGAATTAATTCTAAAATCTTCTATTTACATATAATTATCATATAAGAGCCAATCCTTTTCAAATAATAACAGAAATATGCAAAAATATTTACACAATTTTTAAAATTGACAAGAAATCTATATGAGCTGTATTTCACAGTTAGGACCAATGTAGACCAACAATGAAAAAACTAGTGCAGATGAAATTACTCCATCCTGTAATGTACACCACTCAGATACTCAACTAGTCTATCTGTTGAGGACTCAATTTGCAACTTTGCAACTTTTTTCTATTTACATTTTGTCCTCCTTATGTTCTTTTCTTGCATCTTCACCTCTCTATTCACAGTTGTGTTCCCACCAGCATTGCAAACAATAACTAGGCACCATAGCAGCCAAGGAGGAAAGTCACCACGACCAGTGACTACTTCCTCTTGTAGTCGCAGAGTGGGTTCCTGTGGTCAAATACCCAATCAGACTATACAACCCATCCAAGGTACATCTGAAAGAACATTGGAAAACACTGAAGGCTTGTCTTCCCAAAACAAAAGACAGAATGCCAGTGCACCAGCACAGACATCCACTTCTTCAGTACTTCCCAATTCGACCCAGACTCCTGCTTCCACTGTTAACATGTCTGTGCCAATGATTGAGCTGTCTGGCACTCCATCAATACCTCAAACCAAGCCAACAGCTTCATTAGCTCACCGTCGACCAAACCCAAACCCTCAAACATCAAACCAGACAGTAGTCGCTCAGAAAGAGGGGTCAAATATCTGTCAAAACACCTACCTAAATCCTTTTCCTCCAAGCCAAGTCTTAGTAACGGAGGCTCATTCCCCAAAACAGCGAGCTCAGGCATTGGTTTCACATACTAAGAAAAATCTTTCACCCATTGCCTCGCTAAACCAGGCCACTGAGCCATTATCCCAGTGTTCATCTCAACTTACACAACCACCATTCTTTCCACCACAATCTATCAAAACACCAGCCCAAGAGGTGACACCACAAGTACACACTGTCGTGCCATCAGGACATGTTCCTGTCGCAGCAGCTCCAAATACACTTTCAGCCGTCCAGGATCAGATTCTCTCAACTGGTCTTGTTCCCCCTCAATCCCAAGTTTTTGCATTGCCACAGATAATGCCAGCACATTCCGTGACTTCAAGTCCATCATTTCAGTTTCCTTTGGTTCTGCCACACAATCCAGTTCAGGCGACGCCACCTTCTTATCTGCCAACGCATGTTCCATTTACTTCTCCACACATTCCAGTTAACGCAGTTCAGGGTTCTGTCTCCTTAAACGCACCTCAACCTCCACTCACGCAATCTCAATATCCGGCACAATCCGATCAGTTTTCCTCTTCTCCAGACCAGTTTTTTCCTCCACCCGATAATACGCCAAGTTTGCTTGAATCTCTTGACACTTTGCATTTGCACTCACCCATCGTGATAACGCCACAAGATGCCTCGGAGCAGGCACCCATGCACCATTTTCAGCCATCTGGGCAGTTTGCTCCTCTGCTAACACTGAAGGAGCAACAAGCTGCCTCTTCAGCTAATGTTGTTTTAGGGCGAGTACCCATTCCATCTTTAGATACCTCTGCGTCTCGGGTTGACAACTTCAAAGCGGACGTACCATTTTCCCCATGTTGCACAGAGAGAAATGATAAAGACCTCTCGGAAGATGATGACACCCCCACACTCCAGTCAAGACTGAGAAAACAGAGAAAGATTTGCTCCAAATCCAGACAAATAGATCCCGCAGATGAGGACGGCACATTTATGGTCAAGGATATGAGGGTGGATCAGGTACAGAATGACTTGATTAGTGAAACACCACATTCTGGCTCAAATAACGGAAATCAACTATTACCAAAACCTTTAGGCAAAACACTGCAGAGAAATACGGAGTGTCCCCAGTGTGGAAGGGTCCTCAGCAATGCATCTGCCTTGGAGAACCACATGAGACTTCATACTGGCGAAAGACCTTATACCTGTTCCCAGTGTGGAAAGGCGTTTCCTAGTGTACGAGGTCTTAACCGGCACATGAAGGTCCATGCAGAGGAGAAACGGTATCAGTGTGAGGAGTGTGGGAAGAGTTTTGTATACCACTTTACCCTTACCAAACATCAGCTCATTCACTCTGGAGAAAGGCCGTTTCCTTGTAAAGTTTGTGGAAAGAGGTTTTTGGCCAAGGCAGACCGGGCTACCCATATGCGAATGCACACTGGAGAGAAGCCATTCTCATGCACTCTATGTGGGAAGAAGTTTAAACATAGAGTTGCTCTGAATATGCATATGCAGGGGCATAGAGGAGAGAAACGCTACATCTGCCCCCACTGTGAAAAGGGATTTGTGGATCTAGGCAATTTTAAAAGACACAAGCTCATCCACACAGGGGAAAGACCGTTTGAGTGCAAGAAATGTGGGAAACGCTTTACTCAGTCGGCCCATCTTAAGAAACATGTCAACACACAACATGTTATATGAAAAAAAAGTAGGAAAAAAATAATTTGAATTGTTCCGTATTAAGCATTCAGTTGATCTACTGATCTACTTGATCTACGGACAAATATTCTGTTACAAAAAATATAACCGTATTAGGCCTGATTGTAAATTAAAGGGATAGTTCACCCAAAAATGAAAATTACCACTTGATTTACTCACCCCCAAGCCGTCCTAGGTGTATATGACTTTCTTCTTTCAGACAAATATAATCTGAGTTATATTAAAAAATATCCTGGCTCTTCCTAGCTTTATAATGGCAGTGAATGGGTGTTATTTTTCAATAGTCCAAAAGAAGTGCAATAAAGTGCATCCATCCATCATAAAAAGTGTCCCACGTGGCAGCATAACGGAGGTTGCATGAAGTCCCAAGATTTTAATACTCATTTTCTACGAGTATTTTAACTTCAACCTGAGAAAACTCATAAAAGCAGAGACTTAGCTTATGTTTACTGCTTAAACTCAGTTCAGCACCCGTTCAGCAAGAGATGAAGAGATTCTGTTTGTTACTTGCATTTCCGATAATACGCCAAGTTTGCTTGAATCTCTTGACACTTTGCATTTGCACTCACCCATCGTGATAACGCCACAAGATGCCTCGGAGCAGGCACCCATGCACCATTTTCAGCCATCTGGGCAGTTTGCTCCTCTGCTAACACTGAAGGAGCAACAAGCTGCCTCTTCAGCTAATGTTGTTTTAGGGCGAGTACCCATTCCATCTTTAGATACCTCTGCGTCTCGGGTTGACAACTTCAAAGCGGACGTACCATTTTCCCCATGTTGCACAGAGAGAAATGATAAAGACCTCTCGGAAGATGATGACACCCCCACACTCCAGTCAAGACTGAGAAAACAGAGAAAGATTTGCTCCAAATCCAGACAAATAGATCCCGCAGATGAGGACGGCACATTTATGGTCAAGGATATGAGGGTGGATCAGGTACAGAATGACTTGATTAGTGAAACACCACATTCTGGCTCAAATAACGGAAATCAACTATTACCAAAACCTTCGGGCAAAACACTGCAGAGAAATACAGAGTGTCCCCAGTGTGGAAGGGTCCTCAGCAATGCATCAGCCTTGGAGAACCACATGAGACTTCATACTGGCGAAAGACCTTATACCTGTTCCCAGTGTGGAAAGGCGTTTCCTAGTGTACGAGGTCTTAACCGGCACATGAAGGTCCATGCAGAGGAGAAACGGTATCAGTGTGAGGAGTGTGGGAAGAGTTTTGTATACCACTTTACCCTTACCAGCTCATAGCTCATTCACTCTGGAGAAAGGCCGTTTCCTTGTAAAGTTTGTGGAAAGAGGTTTTTGGAGACCGGGCTCCGGGCTACCCATATGCGAATGCACACTGGAGAGAAGCCATTCTCATGCACTCTATGTGGGAAGAAGTTTAAACATAGAGTTGCTCTGAATATGCATATGCAGGGGCATAGAGGAGAGAAACGCTACATCTGCCCCCACTGTGAAAAGGGATTTGTGGATCTAGGCAATTTTAAAAGACACAAGCTCATCCACACAGGGGAAAGACCGTTTGAGTGCAAGGAATGTGGGAAACGCTTTACTCAGTCGGCCCATCTTAAGAAACATGTCAACACACAACATGTTATATGAAAAAAAAGTAGGAAAAAAATAATTTGAATTGTTCCGTATTAAGCATTCAGTTGATCTACTGATCTACTTGATCTACGGACAAATATTCTGTTACAAAAAATATAACCGTATTAGGCCTGATTGTAAATTAAAGGGATAGTTCACCCAAAAATGAAAATTACCACTTGATTTACTCACCCCCAAGCCGTCCTAGGTGTATATGACTTTCTTCTTTCAGACAAATATAATCTGAGTTATATTAAAAAATATCCTGGCTCTTCCGAGCTTTATAATGGCAGTGAATGGGGGGGGGTCGAGATTTTGATGCTAAATAAAGTGCATCCATCCATCAAAAAAAGTACTCCACACAGCTCCGGGGGGTTAACTGTTGTACTCGTGTTCATGAGAGAGTGGCGTTCCAGCGGATTACGTAGGACGTAGGTGTAGCGTAAGCTCCAGTGAGAAGTGACTAACGTGGAAGCGCAGAGGAGAGAGCAAAACAAAATACCGGTCACAAATTGAAATGACAAAACAAGGATTTCGATATATGCCAAGAGGAGACTGGTTTTCCTTTGCTGTAAACAAAGGATTTTCACTGGATCTTACGCTATGCCTACATCCTCGTCATCCGCTGGAACACTACTCTCTTGTGAACGCACGTATGAAAGTTAGCGCAAGCTAGATATTACGGTTTATAAAGTTTTAAATATGGATATTTTTCTTACACAAACGCATTGCTTCACTTCAGAAGGCCTTTATTAACCGTGTGGAGTACTTTTTATGATGGATGGATGCAATTTATTTTGTTTCAAAATCTCGACCCCATTCACTGCCATTATAAAGCTTGGACGATCCAGGATATTTTTTAATATAACTCTGATTGTATTTGTCTGAAAGAAGAAAGTCATATACACCTAGGATGGGTTGAGGGTGAGTAAATCATGGGGTAATTTTCATTTTTGGGTGAACTGTCCCTTTAATTTATGAAGATTACTTTTTTTTTTAAAGATAAAAGTTAAAAAAAAGTATGTTAACTGCTTCATTGTATTAATTTTGTGCATACTCTTTTTCTCATACCAAGCAATGCAAATAAAATGTGATGATTTTCTATTCTTATGTCAATGTGAAACTTGTATACTGCTTGTTTATTTTTATTATTATTATATTGTATATTTTTGATAGTATTTTTCTATTGTCCATAGATATCAGTAAAACACCTTAGGTGTCATTTTGTAAATGATAATATAATAAACTAAATGAGTTTGTTTGCTACACAATTTATCTTGCAATGGTCTATTCTATCTATTCATATGAATGTACTAGTATGATGCAGACAAGAAAGAAATCATATCAACCACTGGGTGGCAGTGTATGATACCACAGATTGTCTAATACGCCATTTATAAACCTCAAGATTGAAATAACTGACATGAATTGCAGTTGAGATGGAAAACAAAACAGGAGCAGAAATACACTGTGAAGAACTGTGAAAAATCTATTTTCACTTTAGGCAACTATACAAGCACATGTTGAAGTAGCCTGCTTAAAAAAGACTCATACATATTTGAGTACAAATTCCAGTTTATGTAAAGTGGTTAACATTTGGTCTAGATGATTACATGTTCATGTTGCAACATATACCACATCATTCAATGCAAGCACAAAACACTAGTTAGTTAACACACAACCTTATGTTTATGACACATAACAATAATCCTTTATGTAGTATAACTGTCATAGTCCTTAAGTGTATATTAGGGTTACTCACCTGTAAAAAGTTTCTTTGAATGCATATTTAGAAGTCATTGCAGATATTTGTACAATTCAAAATGATTTGTTATTGATATTCAAAATATATGTGAACTAATATGGTTAGACAAAATATACTAAAATAAACATTTTATATATTTGGGCAGAAAAAAGTAATGTTGTAGATTAGAAAGCATTTATTTTTACATTTTTGCAACATTCATTTGTATTGATCATAACAAATAATATATATAATAACTGTCTAAATTAATTAAATTCATGTTAATAAAAAACACTGGTGATTCCTGAGTTATATTTCTGCCTGTCATATGAGTTCACATAAAACTAATCTATCTTTGAGGTTTGTAGGGTCTGTATAAGTAGCATAGTTCTTCATCGGTAGTCCTGCATATCTGGAAAAAACAATTATGGAATGTTTGGGATAAAATGCTTTGCTTTATGCAACTTCATACCTCTAAGAATGCTTTATATTTATATTTTTTTATAAAAGAATGGGATGAGAAAGAGAGGGATAGGATGACTGTGAATTTGGTTGGATAAACTAAATTTCATTACAGAGGGAAGGCGTCACGTAGAAAACCATATAAAAGCAGAGATGCCCACAGAGGGAGGGACATGCTAATGAGGCGCGAGCCCGCGCTGGACTTCATGGTGTAGCTGCACCTGCCCACGTTCCCTACCTTGTCAACTGCAGACAAAATCACAGAAGGTGAACAACATGAGGCCTCATATAGACCCATAAACACAATCACACCATCTTCCACTTCCCTCTGGGTGAAGTCTCCACTGCCTTGCTGGATAGAAATGCTCTCGATGCCTGTGCCATTACCGTCTGTGATGTTGACAGACAGTTCCCAGTTTGATGAGCTGCAAGAGGAGGAGTAGCAAGTACCCTGTACACCGACAATTTCACATTTTGGAGGTGAAAAGTCAGTAACCTGGATGGAACAGTAAAGGGGGAGTTAAAACATCAGCTTGTCATTGCAATTTAAAATAACTGTTTTCTATTTAAATATATTTTAAATTGTAATTTATTCCTGTGATGGCAAAGCTGAATTTTCAGCATCATTACTCCTGTCTTCAGTGTCACATGATCCTTCAGAAATCATTCTAAGATGCTGATTTGCTGCTCAAGGAACATTTATCATTATCAATGTTGAAAAGAGTTGAGCTGCTTAATATTTTTGTGAAAACCATGATACATTTTGTTTCAGGATTCTTTGATGAATAGAAATTGATCAAAGAACAATATTTATGTAAAATATAAATATTTTGTAATGAAATAAAAGCATTTACTGCCACTTTTGATCAATTTAATGCATTCTTGCTAAATAAAAGAATTGTTTGTTTTTTTTACAAAAAAAAAATGATACTGACCCCAAACTTGAATGGTAGTATATATTAATCATAAGTCAACCACAATTTGTTTTGTGTGAAGAAATAACTGGCTGCCATAGAAGTCATTTAGAGGTCTAAACTGTCCATTTGGGACGCCACTACTGCAAAATCGGTACTGAAATAACATTCCACATATAAATGTGCCTCATTCAGTTTCCTTATCTAAGCCCACATTCTTTTCCACTGAAATTTCACAACAGCAGAATGCTTTATCAGTCTGTCTGAAACCATCTGAGGTTACCTTGGAGAGAACAGAAAGGCGAAGGACAGCATAGTTAGAATCACTTCCTCCAGGACCTTCTGCCTCGATGGTTAGCGTAACATCTGTGCCTGAGACTGTATTACCAGGTGGAGTGAGAGACACCGTCCCCTGAGCACTGCCGCCACTCACGAGATTGAGACTGGGATGACAAAGAAACAGAACTTCAGCACTTTTTAATTTTATTCTTGATAAGGAAAGCTGATTAAATCATTACTGAGTGATTTGAGAACTAAGTGGAGAAATTACATTGATGGATGTGTCATAGGGATGTTTTTGTCATTCCTTGCACGAATTGTGTAGGCACCACTGGTTCCAGTGGTTGTAACAGTAAAATTTATTTTAAATACTTCTCCTGGCAGCATGGAGCTGTCTGCTATTGCCTGTAGATGGAAAGAAAATGGGTTTAGAATTAAATTTAGGTTTGTTCAAACAACTAGCAAGCTGCCTACTGCCTTTTAAAGGAAGTATAATTGTCATGGAACTTACAAGTGACTGATTTTTACACAAGAGACTCAACCCACAATTGATTTCAATAGATTTTTATGTTAGCATTTTGCTAAGCTCACAGCACAACACTAAAACAATCTTAATAATACAGTCCACAGATATAGAGCATTGTTATAAATGTTTTATTTTACTGTTTTGTTGATGCGTTTTAAAGACAATGGGTCTCACTGATTAACCATGTGTACACAAATTTGTGCTTTCAAAAAATGTTTTCACCGAAAAAAAAAAAAGATGATTAATCATTAACTCATACTACTGTAAAATTCATAAAAAATGTATGAAAAAAATTAGGAACAAATGGAACCACATACAAAAAAAAATCATACTCTGGGTCATTTTATACATAGATATTTCATGTTAAATATATTTTATCATCAAGATTTTGTCATATGTTTGCTAAGAGTGATGAAAGACTGTAAAGGAAAGGTTGTGCGGATAGCCCTTATATAAAGATGGTGTTTGGACGTGTTCTATGAAAATGACTAACCTTGGTTATGTAGTCATTCATTTAGAATACTTCAAAAACATTAGAATGAGGTTACTCACTAATTCACTGTGTACAGTCAGACATTTTTCATCAGTCGTTTCATATAAATGTGAAAAACTCACGCAATTATTACTGAATGTGACCCAATGTTCTCGTCTCGTCCACCATTAATTCACTTTTTCACTGAATTTGGCGCAATGCGTTCTATGGAATGCCATGCCCTTATGTGTGAAGGATACACACTAATGCCTTAGAATTTGGCAGCATATTCAAAGATAATGTACCTACCTTTTGGTCTCACTAAATTTTAAGAAGAAGAATACACTAAGAATACAGTTTGTACCTTTATTATGACTTCAGACTGAGACATCTGTGTGGTGGTCTGCCTCTGGTACAGGCTGGAGGAGGTCTTGTCTTTTCCCTTCAGCAGTACCACAAACTCTCCTTCTGGCACTTCTTTCACAGTAATAAAGTAATCTCCACCATCCATTTTCTCAATGGTTCCATTAGACACTTTGACCCCAGACACCTCCATGAGAGCAACCTCCTGCAGCTCTAGAGCCTCTGGACCTTTCTCTCCAGTCAGTGTTAGCAGCAGCTTAGCCGGTGAGCCTAAATAAAGAGCAAAAAATCTGTACACTTCTATTCAAATCATTTATTAAGAATTGTTTAATAGTTAAAAAGAATAACGGGTTAAACCTGCTGACGGCCGCCCATCAATGGCAGCAAATCCAGGATGGGGTCCTTTGAATTCCTCCACAAAGTCATAGATGAATGTAATCGCACTCTGACCTGTAAAAGATTACATTACATTAGAAAGGCATAAAAATACTGTCAACATGCATCTCAGAGTGCCACGGCTTTTTTTATTATCATCATTAACAATACATTAGCAATTTTCCTCTTAATACTTTAGGAGTAAAGAATAAATATACATTATGCCATATTCTCCTCATGACAGGTTGGCAAAACTTAAGTGTTTGTCTTTGCATTGGTTTATCAAATAAGTACATGATGGCTCACCCATCACTTTAATGGTGTAGGGCTGAGTTGTTGTCATGTCAATGTGCCACAAGCCCATCTCAGTTCCGTTTAATTGGATTCGTTGCAGGTTTCCCACTTTCTGAATTGTACCCAGAGGTCCATTGTCAACAGTGTTAGATTGAGTCACACCTGGAAGAAAGTGCATTTCATTAGGCAATAATGGAGGAACTTACTTTGATATCTTATATTGAAGCTGAGCACTATAATGCAATACATTTTTTT